ATCAATCATTTTTGAGAGATGAATGCTGCCCCTGTATTTAACACGATTTCTGATATCGCCTTTCTTCGGTATTTTGATGTGACGTCCTTCTTTCCTGTCTTTTGTACTTTTTCCCAAATCTTATTAAATTGAATTTGGAATATCCTTGCAGTTGCCGCTATGTCTGCTTTGTCTGTCTCTGCTGGTATGTTGTCTTGTCCTGCTTCTTTGCCATTCTTTATTTGGATGATGGCCATGCTGATTTCTTCAATCGTTTGTGAGCCAACATTGATTTTTAAGTCCGTGGGTGCTGCTTCGATATTGCGTGGGTTCGGTGGGGCTGGTCGATTCAAGAGTTCTTTGAAGTGTTCTATCCATCTGTTTTTTTGTTCCTCAATGTTGGTGATTACCTTGCCTCTCTTGCTTTTCTCTGGTCGTTCTGGTTTGCGGCGATTTCCAAAGAGTTTCTTTGTTATGTCATACACTTGTCTCATGTTTCCTTCTCTTCCAGCATTTTCTGCCGTCTCTGCTAGATCTTCCACATATTTACGTTTGTCGGTTCTGATGCTCTTCTTCACTTGTTTATTTACTTCTGTGTATTCAGCTTGTGTCTTGGCTTTTTCTGCTCTTGTTCGACTGGTATTGATTGCTGCCTTCTTGTTCCTCCTTTCTTGAATCTTATCCAGTGTATCAACAGTGATCCATTCCTTGTGGTGGTGCTTCTTGAGGCCCAGGACCTCATGACATGTTGAAGTGATTGCCTCTATGGTCCCCTTCCAGTTGCTCTCCATAGTAGTTCCTTCTCCATTGAGTAGATCATGAAAGGCCTGAAAATTATTGCTGAGGACTATCTTGAATTTGTTGAGTTTGTCAGTATTCTGAAGAAAGGCCGTATTGTACTTTTGTGATATTGTCCGCCCCATTGTCCAGTGCTTCTTGACTTTCAATTTCATCTTGGCGACCAGCGAGTGCTGCTCTGAGGCTATATCAGCTTCTCTCTTGGTTTGCACGTCCTCCATCGTCCTCCTGAACATTTTGTTGATGCAGATATGGTCGACTTGGTTCTGCGTAGTGTGATCCGGTGAAGTTCATGTGGCCTTGTGAATTCGTTTATGTGGGAATACAGTTTCGTCTAAGATCAGTTTATTGAAGGCACATATGTTTGCAAATCTCTCACCATTTTCGTTTCTTTCTCCCAGTCCGTGTCGTCCCATGATGTTTTCATATCCAGTGTTGTCCGTTCCAACCTTGGCATTGAAATCTCCCATCAGAATGGTCAGGTCCTTTGTTGGGCACTTCTCGGCGATTGACTGCAGCCTATTGTAGAATTGATCTTTAGCGTCTTCATTGTAATCGTTGGTAGGCGCATAGCATTGGATGATGTTCATTGAAATGCCCTCTTTCTTTGTTTTGAAGGAGGCTTTGATGATCCTTGGTGCATGAGATTCCCATCTTATAAGTGCATTTTATGCTCGTTTGGACAGCATCAATGCAACTCCTTGTGTATGTGGGGCATTTTCTTCTTCATGGCCGGAGTACAACAGAAGCTCTCCTGAAGTTAGTCATTGTAGTCCAACTTGCGTCTCATGTGTTTCACTGATCCCAAGCACCTCTAGATTGTATCTCCTCATTTCTGCAGCAATTTGGAGGGCTCTCCCGGTGTCCCACATTGTACGAACATTCTATGTACCTAAACAAATGGTCGCTCTGGTTGTCAGAAGGGGCATCGGCCTCGTAACTTCCGGAGGAATTCGACTTTCATCATGAGGCGTCATAGTTCTTCTAAATGAAGAACTTCTGACTCCCGGGGCAGAGTTTAAAAGGTTTGAATAATTTTTTCTGGTTAGCGATTTTTTAGCGAGTTAGTTTTCTACGGGATGGGGTCGCTAACCCCATGCCCAATCCTCCTCCTTTATCCTGGCTTGGGACCGGCAGTAGCCCCCGGAGGGACTTCAGTGTTTATTTTAACTTGAAGAATATGCAAATTATTTAACCACTGAATTTAATCCACTCCCTTTTTTCGAATTTTAATTTTTTGTTCAGAATTAATTAAATTGGTATGTTGAATAGTTCGCAAATCTATGACAGTGATCATGTTTGCTGTGCGACGCCCGATGTCGGGATTGCGCGATAACTGCTCACAAGATTTAAGTCTGGACTGTAACTTGTTCATGTGATAATTAGGAAAGTCATCATAAATAACTAACAAAGTAGGTTTTTTCCCTCGGAAAATGATATGCTGATATTATAAAACATTCATCTTTTGATTAGAAGTTTGAAAATGCAAGAGGCATATCTAGTTTGACACCATTTTAACGAGTAACACCTATAATTAAATCGTGCCCAACCAGTGAAATCAAAAATCAAAAGCTAGGAGATTAGAAGATACATTTGATAGGTTATTAATATACCGAGAAGTGACTGATCTCAACTGGTTGGAGGTTGTGCAAGAAGTTGAGCACAACGTTCCCACACTTGATCTGGTGTGGATACATGACCAAGTACCTTCAGCTAGGTGAGTCTTTTATAACTGATAAGGTCATCTATAAACATCGAAGACTGATAGAGCTATTGATTTAATGGATTTATTTAATGCTACTAGTTTCATAGATCACTTGTACTTCAGTGAAATTAGGGTCCGACTCTCTCTGGTTTTATTCTAAGGCTTTGAAAATAATAAAAAACATTTTAACAGTATAAATGTTACCTTAAATAGCATCATTTTATAACTTCTTATGGTGGCAAGGAAACAAACCCATCACTAATCAGATTATCCTAACACATTTTATTGATCGTGTAGCGTGGTGTGGAGTCAAGATGGACTATGAATACCGCTACCAAAAAACTCGTGCCAAATGACTCCATAAAATCCCGCGGACGCCAAATATCAGAAGGCAGTTAATGAACCAAGTCGAGATATATTTGCTGGTGATCTCGTGGTATCGAAAGGATACCGAGATCTTGTCAGTATACAAGCTTGGTTACAGAACGTAACCGAATTCGCGCGAAGTCACAATCAAAGTGTGTGAATAATGGATGCTTTTAGCACAGTTAAACAAAAGCACATTAAAACAGTCACCGGTACAATTGGTTATAATAATAATTGTTTTCAATAAACCAATCGTGTTCTCGTGATAAAAGTGAGTCACTACAATCGATTGATTTCCTTATAGGGTTATGACTGTAATATAATTCGTATCTAATTAGTAGATGAGTCTTACGGTTTAAGTACTCAAAGGTCGACTATTCAATCAAGGTAAGACAAACCTTTGGCCACATTCAAATTAACCACTAAATTAGACTTCTGCAAAATGCTTATTATCCGAAAGGTGTTTTGTGGAGATATTAGTTATGTTGTAGTTGAATTCATGAATCAATTTTACCTAGGCCACTATGAAAAACCTAGAAGCATTGGATGGCTGTTTCGTCTAATTGTGAGTCTCTCCATTAGTGTGCATCCATATTTGAACCCGAGACCTACCAGCCTCGCCTAAAACGTGTAACCTCTAAGGAACGAAACAGACGTAGAGTAGTTCTAGGTTTACATGGGGATCTAGCTTCAAATGACTCATGAATTTAACTACAAAATGCTTATTTGTGATGAGTTTCAACAATATAAGACATACAAACTTCTCAGTACTTGATATTTATCCACTAGACATCAATGGGAGATAGGACAGTGGATTATCAATTTCCGAATGAATAATACCATAATACAGTTGGATTGAAATTATTATGTGTAAAATGATTAATCTTAGATCATTTGTTTGCTTGGATCATTATATATATATATATATATATATATATATATATATATATATATATATAATTGTAAGGTACTACAGCTCAGTTTCATAGCTTAAACTACACACCGATCTTGATCTAAGGACCACTGTAAACTAGTGAGGTCTGCTCAGCTGTTTCTTCTTCGCAGTAAAGGACTCTTCGGCATACACAACTCCAGTAAAGAGGATACTACGTAGCAACTTCCACATCAAGCGTCAACGCCTAACCTACAGACAATTGATCCGGTATCCATCGATGTATGTGTCAAAATTCGGTCAACTTAAATTTTGCGTTCCTCAGTCACTAGTCCATACGTTTGTTCTGTAAGATTATTAAAGGTAAACACTTCATGAAGGGAGTATAAGCACATTCATTCAGGAGTTTTACTCATGTATGCTTGCATCAAAGCGTTACACAACCCATGGTGGTCACCAAGAATTTTCGATAGTAACATAACTTTATCGTATATTGAAATAAGACAGTGATAGCTGAAAATATATCCTGATTTTCCAATCATTACTCCAGTTAATGGTGTAATGGTAGACCACGAAAGTTCTCATAGTAAAGTACGTACTAAATTATTATCTAATAGTTGAATTCATGAGTCTATTAGATCTAGATAACCACGGAAAACCCTGAAGTACTGGGCAGCTGTCTCGTTCTAGCATGGGCCTCCTCAGCAGTGCGCATCCACGATCCCGCCTTGTGAGATTTGAACTCATGACCTTCGGTGTGGCGCGCGAGCGCTTAACCTACAAACCACTGAGCCGGTACACAACGGTGTTAATGTCTAACGTCGGTCAATTCACGTAATTGCGCCACCGTCCATCATTGTCTTCGGTGAGTTACCATCTCAAAACAGATCCGGCTAAATTAATTGTTTTGTTCGATAATTTATTATAATTAGGAAGTAATTTATTGATTATCGCTTTACACAACACAATTATAAGCGATTGTAATACTTCAGAATAAAACTGATGAATAGAAATCTATTGCACAAGCAAGTAGCCGTCAGAACTCAGCAGCTTAGTAGATAACGCGATGACGATTGAAGCGAACGATTCTGTGATCAAATCGCAGGGTAAAAATCAATCCTGAGATGCAGGTACATCAAACTGATGTGTCCCAAATAGTATGAAACGCTCTTTAAACAGGATTTCACAGCTAGCCATTGTCCATCTTTGCCAATAATTTGAACTGTCGCAAAATCTGTCAATGCAATGCACAACGTTATTTTAGCGAAAAGACACTGGAATAAAATGAACATTGATACTGTTTTTCGGTTTTTCAGTTAATGAAAAAGTTGACAGAATTTTTATTAAAACAGTTTGAGAACAATATTTTGTTTGGTTGAAGTTTCGTTCATTCTTCTGGTTTCCTATTAAAAAACAACAAACGTATCAACAACGCACATTACACTTGAATCCATGTGTAAACAGGTAACCTTTTATGTTATTCAGAACCATCTTCAACAAATAAATTCAAACAACGCAATCGACAATTATTTGTCTACAACAACGAGTATTATAGGCAAAGTAATTTAGTAGTTCATTCAAGGGAGAACAATTTAAGCTTCATTGAGAAACAGCTAATGATATAGATGTTTGTAAACACCTCTAACCAACTATAAATATATCAGTGACACCTACAATAAAAGTTAATCAGAAATCCAGTTTAGATCAAATGATTTTTGTTTGATCTACCGAGTTGATAGATACCAGAAACCTTATCGTGAGAGGTCCAGAGAGTGATAAAGAGTGACAGAGACTCCAGGTAATCTTGGAAGATGAATAAACTGTTACTAGCACTCGGACTGATGGACAAACTATCTGGAGGAGTGCAGAAAACTCGTCTCTATTAAACTTGGATATCTTTCACGGTAGTGATACAGTTTTAAAAGTAAGCTAATATAGCCACTGGTTGAAGTTTGATAGTCGGACGTCATCTTATCTGACTTGCTTTGATAGCTGACCGTAACACTTTACATGACGGATTTAACATCCTCTCATAATTAACACAGAAGAATCGGTTTAACTAGTATAGTAACGAAAATACAAGCCTCTGTGTCCGTATGATGACAAAATTTTGATGTTGATGAGGAATTCTTGGAAGCTTGGACGGGTTTTAGACTTGAATGTGAATGTATCAACTAAATGCACACTCTTCAGGTTTTTAAATACAAGCAAACTTAATGGCATACAACAAGAGTCCTATTTCTTGACTCCGAGAAATCATTCGTCCGTATTGATCAAAAGCTTTCGTGTTAATTTTTTTGTTAAAATGCAGACCATAGCAGCAAACAAATCTTGCGAGTAATCTTTTTTATGGTGAATGTTTGCTTGTGTCGGAGATTGTAGTCAGGTTTACCAGAATTGTCATGTGATATCCATCAGAGATGGACAACATTCATCGTTTTTATTTATTTTATCTATAAATATTCCCTTATGAGTGACGATTCCATCACCTCACTTATCATGAGTTGATATTCGCACAAATGATGCACTGGTTGACCTAGTAAATGTCGACAAAGCCGAGTGAAGAAGCTGCACAGGAGACTGAGTAACGGAAGCTATAAGTTGTGATCGATTAGATTGTTTGGAACATGTGTCACCTGTGCCTATTCACCACTTGCTTCAACTGGCTGCTCCTAGTCCAACAGACAGCCTAATCAGGTGTTAGCATTAGTCTATGAAGTCACAGATTGTTGTTCCGAACTCATCAGTAGGTGCAGCACATATGATTTAAACCAATGCGTTAATAACAATCACTGTTTGGAGTTGTCAAGGTGTTGACATGGCTCAGAATCGTCCACTCTATCTTCCACTAGATATCGAACCTCAGTAATCCTCCATGCAAACGCTTTAAATCTACCATTTCAAACAATATTAAGGACGTGTAATTTTCATGACTATCATCGCTAACATTCTATCTCAATGTATTTTGTTACTTTCATCTCTATATGCTAATATGGTTTGACGATATGCACCAATACATACCGACAGCAGGGTCTAAGCTAGTGATAGTTGAATGATTGACGATTGCAACAGAACATTCATTGTCTCACATTTTAAGGAAGAATTGTTAAGGAGTCTTGACATTTTCGCTCTACAATCATTTGTAATTGTAAGATATGATTTGATAGTTTATTAAGTGAAAAGGTTGTCATCTGATTTAAGTTGGTGCATTCCCTAAGACATTTATTCAATCAATCAAGTAACTTAATGCATTTTAATCAATCCATTTACTACCTTGATTAGTTTATATGCGTGATAAATACTCATAGGTAATATTGCATACTATAACAAAGCCAATACAGCATCCAATAATATAAGCGAAGTTGCATAATGGCTAGCAGTGGAATGCAGTTTGAATCACGTTTCGTCCTATTTCAGAAATGTCAGCCGGATGTACCTGTATCTCAGAGTTGATGTTCACTCTGGGACTCGAACCCAGTACCACACTATAAGATCCAGATACATCCCACTGATGAATATTAAATAGGATGAAACGCGCGAGTGAAAATCGGAAAACATCTTCTAAGGTGATTACTCACATTTTTAGGCCTTTAAATTGAGTTTACTGAAGAAAAAATCAGAATTATTCAAAATGGTTTGTAAATAAGACAATATTATCATACAATTACAAGTTTATTTCTACATTACGTAACAAAACCCCTAAAGAGAGTACTTACTTTCTTCCTGCATTATACTTTCGTAGATTTTTATTCTTTCTTCTAATGAAAGTACTTAATAAGTTAGTCGATTATTATCAAACAATAAAAGTCACTTACATTCAAGGACATCTATTCTTTGAACTTCCATATTTGTCAATGTTTTAAGATGATCATCTGTAAATCATGATGAAAATGAACTAAATTTTATCGAAATTAACAGTGTACAGTACTTGTTGAAGAGATCCAGGAAAAGCGAAACACTGCTCTGAAAACAGAGAGGAGCATCGTATCCAATAGGCATTCAACTGAAGGTTTACCAGAAACATTTAGAATGTGGTAAGTCACACGCCGAGTTTTTGATAAAATGAATACCTATACAGCAACTATATTTGAGTGACCTTCCATAATTTTCTGGAAGGCCATCTGAAATACCATAAAAGATCTCGATTTTCTATACATAAACTGGCCTTTGAAGTAAAGCGTCTTCTTCCATATTTCGCCCCTGTCCTCAACTGTCCACGTTGTTGTAAAGATCTAGCCTGGAGGTTACTAGATGAACGTAGGAACCGAATCAAGCGTTCAATTGCAAGACATTTCATTATTAGACAGATCGCAACTGTAAGTTAACTAACCCATAAGAGAAATAAAAAAAGTTGGTGATCTGACGTTCAAAGGGATATTCTTGTGTAAACATTTCACTTTGCTTTTAAGAATAAATAAAATAGAGAAGCATATAATAATTTCCCAAGTTACTATAAGTATGAATGTTTGGTGGAGAATTTGTAAACGTGATTTTGTATACCAGATAGGATGAAACGCGCGTCAAACTGGATTCCACTTGTAGCCAATATCCATCTTTGCTTATAATCTGATAAAACTATTTTACTAAAACATCTTAGAATCACATACTGATTTCATTATCTCGTTGAAAATTAAAACGGCTACATACGGAAAATTAGGCTAAATGAGGATGGAAAGACCGAATAAAATAATACATTGATAAACCGTGTGGGACACCTTATTGGTCGGCATAATTAAGTAAGTAACATTCAGATAATTGGCTACTACATAAACTATCGACTTCAAACGAAAAACACATTTCATTGGTGTTATTTGCACAAAACGTACATGTAGCATCCTCGTTTCTAATAGTGACATTACGCTTTTTGTCTTGTTCAGCTATCACTTCTGGATTTGCTATAAAATATAATCAAAGTAAAACATGGTTAATTGAGGTGCTAGTTATATTACTCAGTAAAACTGTGATTTATAGACAACTTTTTCAAAGTGTTCATCTATCTACTAGAGCTAAACGAGGGTTATAAAGCAGTTTGAATTATAAGAATTACGATTCACAGTTTACGATTATGGCTAGGAATTAGATTTCGCGTTTTTGTTATGAACCGTTATCAGCTACTGTGAGATGATGATTTGTAGACTAGGTGGATTGTTATGATGAAGTTTTGTTCTATGAGCTGGATGGCATGGTTGTAGAGCATTCATCATTCCACTAAACGACATCACCAGCACAAATTTTAGGTAGATTTCTATCATCGAAATCAGCTATAATGCCTAAACTTCATTTAGCCAAATGGATGATTAAACTTTGCGCTAAAATCCGACACCTGTTATCTTATACGTGATTGGTTCGTCCATAAATTATTGTCTCGCCAATGATAAAATTATTTACTTCACAATTCAGTTATTAATACTTACCAAAAAGTACGTCATTAATAGCTTCATCTAAATTTTTCTCAGACTTATATATTCGGTCTAATGTGATATTTTCGGAAGTGCGAAAAGTGTACAAAATGAATTTGTTAAGGTTATGTTGTTTGTTTAGTTTCAATTGATATCAATACTTTGAGACTATCGTTTAAAACCTGAAAACACTGAACGGTCGTTTCGTCCTAGTATGTGAGTCGTTAGTTGTGCGGATACATGATCTTACACACAGGAATCCAATACTAAGACAAAACGGCTGTTCAATGCTTCCAGTAATGTAATAGTGGATCATCTAGTAAAATTACTATTCACTTTTATAATCACTGATAATCAGCCAAAGATCATCAACTTCACGTTCCAAATTATGTCGTTGGATTGGATCTAATAAACAAAGAATAACTGGTAACACTATGTGTGATAAGTTTGACATTATTATTCAAACACAAAATAGTTTATTTAACGTATGTAATTGTATGAAGTTATTTGCTTAATTATCAACATACCTGATGTGTTTTTGGCTTTAGCTACAACTGCCCTTATATCCCCTAAAATGATGATGATGTAAAATGGATACTAATTATTCTCGTATGTAATATGTTGAATAGTTATCATCAATTCAGATTAAACTAATCTTACTACATATATAAACGATTAGATCAATTAAATATATTTTGGAAACCCACACGATATGTATCAATACCAAGGTGCGACTTGATAGTTTATTATTACATTATATGTGTTATTTTCTTCTACCATATACAAGATAATTATTTCAAGTGACATATTGTGCGTTAAAACCTCGCGAGGCGGGGTCGTGGATAGGCACTGCTGAGGAGTCCCATACTAGGACGAAGCAGCCTTCAAGTGCTTCCAAGTTTTCTATTGTGGTCTGGCTTCAATTCACTCATGAATTCAATTATTACACTACAGTATTATTTAAAAGTAAATAAATTCGTTGAAATAATAACTAACGCGTGTAGTTATCTAGGTGTTCTGTCATCTCACTAATGTTTTTCTGCATTTCTTCGACTGAAATAAAATTGATGAAAGATGGTTATTTCACATTGATGATTCAATGAATGAAGAGAAAAACGTGATTATGAGATGGTGGAAAAGATTTGTAGCTCAGGTAGATGATTTTGATGGAGCTTAGTTCTCTGAGCTGGATGGTATGTTCATGGAGCTTTCATCGTTCTTCTAAGCGACATCATCAGCACAAACTTCAGGTCGAAGACAGCTCCAACCAGCTCAAAGTACAAAACTCCGTCAAAAATGTGATTATGCTCAGATTGTGTGTGATATGTTGACAATAAACATTAAATTGCTATCAGAGTTCACTTAAGTGAAAAACAAATCTTACTAAAACATCGGATTTCATGTGTCTAGATAAAGGATTTGTTTTGGTTCAAATACTCGTATCTGGACGAAATTAGAAAGAAGCGATGGAAGTGGATTGGGCATACATTGAGGAAAGCACCCAACTACGTCACAAGGTCAACCCTCACATGGAATCCTCAAGGTCAAAGGACAAGCGGAAGACCAAGGAGCACATTACATCGAGAAACCGAGACAGACATGAGAAGAATGAACAACCACTGAATAGAAGAGAAGAGGAAGGCTGCGGACAGTGTGGGTTGAAGAATGCTGGTCGACGGCCTGTGCTCCATTGGGAGTAACAGTCGTGAGTAAATACTAGTATCTGAAAATATCACCCATTTTAAATCATGGAATTGATTTATAAAGTGTGAACCTCCGCCAGTTGTTGAAATACGATCCAACCAAACAAGGTTCTAACAGACTAATCATCGATATATAATGGAGAACACATTTAGACTGGAGATAGAACAATACACTTAATATGAATAAAATGGATAAGTTACAAGAAAGTGAAAATGCTTGCAAAGCCAAGCCGTGATATTCGATGAGTTAAATTTCGAATCAATGTTACTACGTCCACCATTATTGAGGTACTTTTAGTGTTACATGTTGAAAGTCTGTTTTCCCAGTTATCTCACAATCAGCTTTGAGGATTGTGGTCAGAATTCAATAGCACTAAAAGTACTAGCAAAGATTTCTGCACACAAAGCACACAGCATATATTTTACATCATACTATAAAGTGGTTTCCTATCCGGGTCGGATAGTTCAGTGGTAACGTGTCTGACCGTGGAGATGAGGGACACGGGATCGAATTCTTAACGGAACATCAGTTCCCTCAATATTATAGTTACTAGATGACATACTATTAAAAAACGAGAATCAAGAGAATGATAATTTGATTGAATGTGCATTAAAATAGGGAATTATTCGGTTATTAAATTGTGCAATACGTTCTCATGAATATGTATCAGAAATCAATTAATATGCCACATTAATCTCACGGTGTGGGTGCAATTTCGGTAAATCTTTTTTAACTGCATCTATTTTACATCAAAGAAAACGACGCATTATCAGTAAATATAAATGAAAGATCGATATTGAAGTCAGTTATGCTAAATTTTCATTCCCTTATATGACATATATTTACAAAAATTATTGGCTGTCATAAGGCGGTTAGAATGACTTGGAATTCTGGAAGAACAATTATCTACTTACTAACTTACGCCTGTTCATTTTGACCCATAGACTATTATGATACGATTTTTCATTCTTGAGTTATGCTCACTCTATTAATTATAATCTCCAACATTCACAATCACTTTTGTTTAGATCTTGGCACAATTGTGTATGTTGTGTTTTATCATATGATGTGGTCTGTTTGGTTTGCATATAAACACAGTATATTTGAATTAGAGGATTCATATTGTGGACTTAACAGGAAGGGCTAGGCAGGAAGTAGGACCGGTAATGACTCTAGACTTCTCGTACGGGTTTTACGCATCACTAATCTAGTCGATAAATCAATGTTCTATAATTGACGACATCGTTACTTAATATATTCATAGGGCACAGGGCCTTAAGATACAATAGCATTATATCATAATATATTGGGTTAGTTGGATTGATCTTTGTATTCGGTTTAATTATTTGCTTGATCGATGTTAAAGTAAACGTTGTCAGTAATCGAATCACTTAGAGAAAAATATTTAAGTGACGATAATGGACGGTTTGATTTTATAAAAATAGCAATCTATATCTATGTTCACCGAGTTTGATGTGTTAACTTGTTTATTCTGGTTGGTGTCTTGTTTACGAAACTTCGTTGGAAGTGGATAGAACATGCACTACGGCAATCATCAAACTGCATCACAAGTCAAGCTCTAACTTGGAGTGGTGAAGAGAAACGGAAAAGAAGAAGGCTAATTATAACATTTGGTTGGAAAATAGAAGCATATATGAGAAGGATGAACAACACCTGAAAATGATTGTCCAGTACAGAGTTGTGTATTGAGTGCTGATGGGCTGCCTATGCTTCCCCACGAGATGCAATGGTCGTGAGACCTTGTCGTTTAAAAAAGTAAACCGCTGACTAGGAAATATAATTTCATGTTAATTCGCTACATTGTTGGAAATTAATGTATTCACTGAAAAAGATATATATAAAACTGGCCGTGAAACTCACCGCAGAAATTGCTAAAGGCAAGGTTTGTCTCAATCAATTCCTTATTTGTGCTGATAACACGTACTTATATTGAAAAAAAGAAGATCAAGATAAGACAATTATAAAAATCATCACACAGAATACTGCATTATTTAAAGGCCTTGTTTGATTTTTACCACTAGTAATACTAATATAACTGTCTCCATCATGAGATATTTCTCCCCATGACTATTACATAACATATTAATAGTGCTATCCAGCACATACTTATATTCACCAAACAATTATCATGTTCTAATGTATGTTATTGATGATGGTTGTAGTGGTCCTCAACGTTTCAGCTCCGTTAAGTAGGAATTTCTTGACATTCGTATTGAATATTCTGTCTTTGATATTGGTTGATGGTTGTTTTGATTTCTATATGTTCTTTAACCATAGGGATGCTGTTATTATTTTACCAATCCTCGCATTCACGTCTGAATCAGATCTTCCTTGTTCATTGATGATACTACCCAAGTACGTGAAGGATTTCACTTCTTCCAAAGTTTCGCCATCAAATGTGATTGGGTTGGTGTTCTCTGTGTTGAATTTGAGAATGATCTAATAACAGTCTATGGAATACTCACATTATTAGGATAATGATCCAGTAACTCTTATAGCCACTTACATTATAGTACCATTTACCATCAAGAATGAGATCACTTAATAAGCAATCGTATATCTCAGCTTACAGAATTCACTATACAAACAAGATTACAAATCAATAGTCTTTTATGTTACAGGTTTGCTTATTTGAAACTCTAATAAACATACATTTAGACTCTTTATATTGATTTTCAGTTTCTCCCAGAGTTGATTTTCTTTCATCAAGTGATTTCCCTTTAGTAGAATAAAAATGAAATCCAGTTATTAATGCAAATAATCTAATGTTTTCATCATGATGATTTACATTTCAATACATAAGTGATTTGTGTTTTGTTTTGCACACATCCACGATCTCACACCGTGGGATTTGAAACCAACACCTATCAGTCTCGCGCGAGAACACTTAAACTCTAGATTATTGAGCTGATATCCAACGGTGGTAATGTCTAACTTTAATTGATCCACAACATTGAGTCACAGCTTATGGTTTGCAATCATCTTTTACACTTACAAGATGTATTTTAGTTTATACAATTGCCAATTTCTTCGCACAAAATGACTATTCAACCGAGGGCTTCAACGGTTAGTCAGTAATGCAGTTTTCGATATTATGTGCTTAGTAGTAGTAGTAGTAGTAGTAGTAGTAGTAGTAGTAGTAGTAGTAGTAGTAGTAGTAGTAGTAGTAGTAGTAGGCGTTTTCACAAATACTTCAAGATTTCTGATAAGGTTATTAAATAAATACAGGTACACTCAACAGATGAGTCTCAAATAGGACGAAACGCACGTCGAACCGTATTCCACTATTTGCCACTATCCATCGTTGCTTATGAAGGTTGTAAATTAAGGCTTTACGCACAGTATGCACATAAACAAATAAAAAACCAATCAACTGCAGTCCTGAATAACAATGGGAATATACAAGTAAACATCAACAAGTGAATTTACTAGATGATTTCACACAGTATTGAAGTAAGCTTCAACAGCTATTGGCTGGAATTGACTTTCACAAATTCTTACTTAAATATTGATTGATAAAACTTCATTCTCAATATGGATATCAAGTACTCACCGTTATTTTCTGTCAAAGACGAGCTTTTGGATGAAGTTTTCATGTTCAAGTATTTGTCTGCATGAAACAAAAAACAATAGCAGTCAATGTGAATTTGAAAGTAGTATGTATAGACTTTGATTCCTCATGAATTTATAATTTTAACAGTTGAACCCATTCAAAATGTTATTTGCACT